CCCCGCACTGCATTCTTTAGGCACTACGGAGAAGACTTTTTGTTTTTCCTGCAGGAAGCTTGATGCTGTCCCCTTGATTGCCCCACTTGTGTTGCAAAATCTCCCCCTGTTTCTAGAGAGAACCATTAAGAAGGTGGGAGTGGGTGAGATTTGGGGCGTGCAAGCAGCTGATGGCGCCCAGGCGCAGAGAGGTCGCCTAGCCGGGAGGTGGTAGAGCCTGGATTCACACTCAGGGCTGTTTGACACCCAAGTCTGGGCTCTCCGCCCCATCCCAAGAAGATGAGATGGCTTTCATAGACCAAAATGTTCCAGGAAACCTGGGCTCAGTGCAGGGTGTGCCCAAGACAGCAAGGGCTGTAGGCTTGTGGAAGAGGGAAGGGTCCGAGAAGGCTTCCTGGAGGGGGCGGCATTTGGCCTGGCCTTTGCTTTGCTGGACCCCCTTTCTTCTTCCATCTGGCCTCTTCCCCCAGCCCAGGGAGGGAGGTCCCAGATGCCCTCACGCCTGGATAGTGTCTTTCTGGAAATGCCTCACATACGTCCAGCCCCAGATAGGCCCTGAGATCGAGGTTAAAAAAGCAGAGGCCATGGCTTGTCTCGGGCCCCTGCGAGGCATGTCGGGACTCACCCACTGCCTCCCCTTGCAGACGTCTCTCTGGATTGCGACCTGAACTATGAGGGCAGGCGGGACGGGAGCTCTGTGGACAAGGTAGGCATCTCTGCCTGGGCCGGGGAAGAGGGAGTGGCGTTTGGAGCTGGTCTAGGAGGGCTTAAGAGGGGCAAGGCCACTGCAGGTGTTCCCCTGCCTCCCAGCGGGTGCAGAGGTCGGGAGGCCAAACGGGAGCCAGGCCTGGCGGGGGGATGGGGGTGGGGTGGGGGCTTCGTTGTCACCAGAGACCGTCAGGCCCTGAGCTAGGTCTGTGGGGAAAAGGCCTTCTGAATTCATCTCCTGGGTCACGGTGGGCCAACTCTTTTCATGAAGTCCAGCTAGTGTATATCTTGGGCTTCTGGAGTCGCACTGCCTCAATTCACCATCGTCATGTAAAGGCAACACAGTCAATACATAAACTAGTGGGTGCAACTGTGTTCCAATAAAACTTTATTTACAAAAACTGGCAGTGGGCCAGAAAGTGCTGACCCTCGATCTGAGGTGGGGAGGGAAATCTGCCAAATACGAAATGGTGAATGAACTTTGAACTGACCTGTGGTGGCACTTAACAGACAGAGAGCTCAGAGGAGAAGGTCAAGGTGGGCTGGGTGAGCATGGAAGACCTCCTGGAAGAAAATGCACTGGAGCTGGGCCCTGGAGGGATGCAGGAAGGGCACTCCTGGTGGAGGGAACAGCAGGAGCAAGGGCAAGAAGGGAGGGCTGGAGGGACGAGCAAGGTGTGAGTGGTCTTACACTCAAGAAACTGCCTGTTGAGAACAAGGACAGACGGCCAGGAAAGACAGCTCTGTGGCTTGGACTTTGTGATGTGGGCCATAGGGAGCCATTGATGTTTCTTGAGCAGGACGTGCTTCCGTGAAAGTGGGCCTGGCCTCACAGGGGAGGACAAAGGGTCAGGAGGCTGGCCAGGAGGTTGCCGGGGGAGGGAGGCACTGGTCCAAGCCTCTATCACTGGCTATGTTTTGCCCTTGGCAGAGGCAGTGGGTCTGGGGGCCCAGTGGGTACGGTGCCATCTTGCTGGTGAACTGTGACCGAGACGATCTGAGCTGCGGTCAGGACAACTATGACCAGCACGTGAGCTGCCTGCAAGGTGAGGGAGGCCGGGCAGCCCGGGTCCCTGGTGCCCGTCACTGCTCAGTTACCCCCAGGTGTGGTTCTCATGGCAGAGCTCCAGGCCCCAGTTGCACCGTGATGGTCCTCAGAACTCGCCTTGGGCCGGCAGCTGTCCCTCCTCATGGTCCCCAGTGCCAGCAGGCACTCCGGGCGGGCACCAAAACTCTGGAGTCGAGCTGCCTGCCCAAGCTCTTCCTCCAGGGGAGCAGAGGATGCGGACATTATTTGAGCACCTGCTGTGTGCCAGGCCCTTTCCCCAGATTCTCATTTAATCCTCCAAGCAGGAGGGTATCATCACCCCGTTACGGAGACAAGGATGCCGAGGCTCAGAGGTCAGGAGGCTCCCGGGGTCGCCCAGCCAGTCTGCATCCAATCCAAGGCTGCCCCTCCCAACCCCAGGTGTGGGACTTCCCAGCCACCCCTCACCTCTGGCCTGGTTCTGCTGAGTCCCTCTGCACTGTGGGCTGCCGCCCCATGGAGGACAAACGCCCTATCCTGGGGTGCGCCAAGCGCTGTCCATGGGAGATGCTCACGGCCCCCGTCGAAGTGGGCACCATTCGGAGATGGAACGCTGGGGCTCTGGAAGGGAGGGGCTTCCCGGCAGTGACCAGAACCCTCTCCTGCGTGATGCCTGGTGGCCTTTGCCTCCGCATGCTTCTCTTGAGCCCTGTTGTGTGTCAGACACCGGGCTGGCTGCTCCACCCTCCGTGTTTCTCTCGGCGGATGAGGAACTCGGGCCCAAGAGAGGACAGGCAGTAGCTCTGCACGGTCGCATGGAGGGGTGACGCTGTGGCTGCTCGGGACGGCTTCCAGTGTTCTCACAGAGCCGGGCTGGAGGAGCCGGGTCTTGCCCGCTGCCCTGGGGAGGGGGCAACAGGAGGAGGAGGAGGTGCCGGGGCCCGGGGCCCCCGTGAGTTGCCACCCTCTGTCTGGCTTCACAGACCTGGAAGACATGTCTGTCATGGTCCTGCGGACCCAGGGCCCCACAGCCCTCTTCGACGACCACAAGCTTGTCCTCCACACCTCCAGCTATGATGCCGAGCGGGCCAGGGTCTTCCATGTCTGCGGTGAGTTCGTGCCAACCCCCTCCCCACTCCCCCAGCCTGTGCCCTGATGCCAGGTGCCTACCAGGAGCCCTGTTTCCCTGCTTCAGGCCGGCAGACGGGCTCCGCCCAGGCCCCAGAAGGTGCCTTGGGGGCCATGGGAAGAGCAATCTGAAGTGGGATTGATCAGCTGGTATCCCCAGCACAGCACCTGCCCAAGGTCATTTTATTAGATGGATGAATTTTATTTACTTATTTAATGTTTTTTGAGTTGGAGTCTCACTCTGTTGCCCAGGCTGGAGTGCGGTGGCACACTCACAGTCACCCCAGTGTTGACCTGCTGGGCTCCAGCGAGCCCTTCTGCTTCAGCCTTCCAAGTAGCCGGAACTGCAGGCACGAGCTCCCATGCCCAGCTAATTTTTTTTTTTTTTTTTTTT